TTTTTATTTTTCAGATCACATTCTGAGTATTTCATTATCAACTTGTTAAATTGTATTCAATTTTGTCATTATTAAAAATATCCTGTCCTTTCCGGTAAAGTTATAAACGTATATCAGCAACTATTAAAGGAAATATGGTATATTTTTCCTTAACGGTACTGAAATGCCAAAATTATTTCAAATGTTGTTCTAGTATAAGACAGCAACTGAATTTGTTAATAAACTCTCACAGCAAATTAACAAAACTCCAGAAAAATGTGCGAATATACATGAACGCTGCCTCTGAGCCTCGAATTTAGCAGGGTACAAGTTCAACCCTTGGTACTTACAGTCTCAAAAAATTATTAAATAAAAATTCCAAAAACTGATTATAGGCATTTGGTAATGCTCGAAACAACTGTATGGTCAGCTAAAAATTTAATTGATCAAAATCATATAAAAATTGTGGAGTTTTTGTTGTTGTATTTCACTACTATTAGAAACCTCTCTACATTTATTTATTTTAGATTTAATATAAATAAAATACTGCAGCAATGCAAAATTAAAACGAAAGGTTCTATGGTAATTGTATTAAGGTGTTAATAAAGTATAGAAAATAGAATGGACTCTATAAATCTATAAACTGCATTTCAAAGTAAGTACTTACTTACTTATGTGGCCATAACAACCCGTTACCGAGTTTCGGCCTGACGCAGCATGTCTCCCCAGGCGCCTCTGTGCTGCGTGCGCGCCTTCTCCAGTCTCGTATATCAAGTCCAGTTAGTGCTCCCTCAACTTGATCATTCCACCGGAGACACGGTCTACCTCTACGTCTTCTTCCGCCAACTACTGCTTCAAACACCTTTTTCGCCGGAGCGTCTTCATCCATTCTCACGACATGACCAAGCCAGCGAAGCCGCTGGATGTTGATGCGCTGAATTACGTCAATGTCGTGATAAAGCTCGTACAGCTCGTGGTTCATTCTAATGCGGTAGTCGTCGCCAACTCGTAGAGGACCAAAGATCTTACGAATAACTTTTCTCTCGAACACTCCCAGTGCTGCTTCATCATTCTGTGATAACGTCCATGCTTCTGCGCCATACAGAAGCACAGGGAGGATGAGCGACCTATAGACATACATATCAAAGTAAGTAGGATCTTTTAAAATAAGATACTTATGATTGAACCATACTCATGTACGAAAATAGGATAAATGCTTTATTCTTCAACTATCAAAATTTCATGAGATTTAGATGAATAAAACTCTGCAGTGACAATCCCTCAAGATGAATAATTTTGAACATAGAAAATTTCTATAATAAATAATTTTAAAGGATAATATTTTCTATGATTATTTTTGATATTCTTTCGAATAATTTGACTTAATTTACTTTACGTGCATATTTCAAAAACCATTAAATATTGATAATAAACCCACTGACCGAAAATTATGCAAATAAAATTGAAAGTGAACCTTAGGTCCCGTATGTAGCCAGTATTATTAAAATGAAGAATAAACTTCAACTCAAATCGTCTTGATTTTTATGGCGTAGCGCCTAAATTCTATTTAAACAAAAGAAAACATTTTCCCAAACTTCCGTAGTAAATCAGAAGAAATCAGGAGGAGGAAGAGTGTACGAGAGTACCAGAACCTCTCGAAAGAATTTTATGTTGATTTATATTTTATTATGCAAATTCGCAAATTTATTTTATTATTTTACTTAAACTTTACTTTTGCCTGCAAGGACGAGCCTTGCTTTGTACATAATTGAGTATGTATGTGTATGTGTATATGTGTGTATGTGTAGGTTTGTGTCCTGTATGCATATGTTAGTGCATGAGTAATAAAGTTTGATGAAAAACCTAAAAGAATGATACAATATTTGGCAACGGGCGAAACGTGCTTCATCAGGTTTTTACTATTCCTCTAGAATATTGGGGACTTATTTGCGGGGAAAAGGAAAGTTTAATGAAACGCTCGTAAATCGTAAAAATTTGATATGCTTATTTAAAATACAACAGAAAGTGCTGGATTAAGTAGGATTTATGTAGCGTTTTGTATAAGTAGCAATTTTAAAAGATTTTTAAAACAAGAAAAAAAAATACACTGTAAAATTTAATAAAGAAGTTCCACTAATTCATGCAAATGAAAAAAATATATTCACATTGGGTTTATGCCTTTTTTTTTGTTAAGCCCAATTGTGTATGACATAGACATCCATATATAAAAAAAAATTACGATTATTTCATTTAAATAAATAGGTATGTAAGTTATAAGGATTTCAAAACATTTTTCCATTATATTATTATTTTAATTTTTAAACTTGTTTATTCAAAATAATCTCCTTCCGAGTCAATACAGCACTAAAAACTTCCAACGAATTTTGCGAAGCATTTATAGCCTGTGATTGCAATTAGGTTAAAGTACATCGGTGTAAGAGTTTTGGTTGACCAGAATAATAATCTAGATGTCAAGATACTCATAGGCCAGAATTGTCTTTAAAGCAGTATATCGGACCAGAATAAAATTCTTAGATCATGAAATTCTCATACTCATAGATCGGGATTATCTTTAGTGCGGTATATCGATAAAAGCCTTTTAGATGACTGGAATAAGCTTCTTGAATCATGTAATTCATTTTGATGAAGTGCTGGATTTCAAGATACTCATAGGCCAGAATTGTCTTTAAAGCAGTATATCTGACCAGAATAATATTCTTGTATCATTAAATTCATTTTGATGAAGTGCTAGATGTCAGGATACTCATAGGCGAGAATTGTCTTTAAAGCAGTACGCCGGTCAAAGACTTTTGGATGACCAGAAGATGTTACTTGTATCATCAAATTATATCATCAAAAAAAATGTGCAGAAGTCAGTATACTCATAGATCGGGATTGTCTTTAGTGCGGTATATCGATCAAAACCTTTTAGATGACCGGAATAAGTTTATTGTGTCATCAGATTCATTTGGATGAAGTGCTAGATGTCGGGATAATTATAGGCCAGAAGAGTCTTTATTGCAGTATATCGGCCAAAAGCTTTTGAATGATCGGAATAATATTTTCATATCATCAAATTCACTTTGATGAAGTGCCAAAAGTCACGCTAAGCCTAATTAGCTTAATACGGTAAATTATTGATAAAAATGACACTTTTTTGGATTAGAATTCATATACTGTGCTGGTGTTTGTGCCATTTGTATATTTGTGCAATTTGTTTATTTAATAGTGTACGCAATATAAAAGAAGAATTTATGTCAAAAAAGTATTTAACATATTTGAAAAGTGATGCCAATTTCTTATAACCAGACTTAGTGGTGTTCTTTTACAACTCTGAAAGAAAATATCACGCCTAATAAGTCACAAAATGAAAAACCACCTTTTATGTAAAAATAAAGTTTCTTATGAAAATAAATAGGCTTTTGTTGTAATTAAGAAGTTAAGGTTGTCTGAACATAGTATAAGGGGGTTAATGTTTATTACAAACATAAATTAATTTCTTAGTACTTTATATATTAAAAATCAAAAATTTAAACCTTTTTTACTTAATTAATATATTTTACTTAATTATAATATATGTGTATTTAATGAACAAAACAAACTTTTTATTTTTTATTTTTTAAATTGAAATCATATTTGAACAGCACAATTTTTGGCAGTGTATCAGTGGATTTTCATTTCGTGTTTACAAAACTTTAAAGGAACATTATGAGATGATGTATTGTACATGGATAACGAGCGTAACACACAGTTCAAATCAACCAAAACCAGAAAGTCTATACGAAACATAATCCAACTATGAAATTGCGGTATGGAGTAGGGATTGGGGTAGCTGTATGCGAAAGTTCCATTGTGTGTGGGTGCAAATATTTACAAATAAACTGTTGCGCTTGTGATCATAATTTCGAGTTGCCCCATAGTCGTTTGCCTCAAATTTTTGATTAGAAATGTACCGGACCAACCAAAGCCAACGACGAAAAGTAACAAAATTTTATGTTTATTACAGGCACAAAGGCAATAGCTGTGATGAGTACAACTTACACTTGCACTCACCCTCGTTCCCACACTACCAGTCGAATTTACAATTGTGCAGGAAGGCAACCTCGGGATTTATGACCAAACAGAACAAACTGAAAACTTAATGAGACGAATTGTTTGAATAGAAATTTATATCAACAGCAAAATAACATAAATAGAAAAGAAGAAAGCCAATGTGAATTGGAACTGTTGGGGGGAGAGGACCAAATGAAAAATAGAAACTAACTAACATATTCGGTTGTGTTAACTAATAGTTTTTTACGGAAGGTTGAGGTATGAGTTGGGTCTACCTTTTCTCGTTGGAAGGCAAGCGATTACGATAAGCGTCATAAAAATGATAAAAAACCTTTACTTTATTTACGACTTTTTTTTACACTCACTTGCTGTAGTTTACTTAGGTCCTC